ATTTCCTTCCATTAACTTCTTATAAAACCTAAACTCCTGTCTCTCATCTGAATCTCTATTGGCTTTGATTTGTCAGTTTCGACACTAAATAACTCCGAACTTATTGTACGGCTGAGGAACAGTATGTGAGGAACAGTATGTCCTGTCATTTAGTGTTAGTATTTCTCAATTAATGAAACGACTAATGCCTCCGAAAATCACTGTTACTATAGTATACAATCAGTTACACATCATTTTGCTACACATTAACGTTATATTTAGTACTGAAATCCTTTTGAAAAAGATTTAAATGAATTAGGATTTAAATGATTAAAATAATTTGATAGTTTGTATTTTATATTATAAATTTTGGATATATTTTTAAAGTTTAAAACATTCATTAAAAAATAATACAGATGTTTAAAAATAATTTTAGCGGACATTTAATACAATTATGTTCCCTAAGGGACACAACTGCCGAGACTACTACCAGAGTTGTCGTATAGACACCGGAGTCCAGTACAGCACTGGGCGTTCGCGAAACCCCCGCACGGACCCTTCAGTTGACTGCATTTGAGAGCACGGCTTCTCCTAAACTTAATGCATATTCCCGAGGCATCCTCTATCATACCGTTGTTGTCATTGAGAATACACGCCAATCCCTGGCCATCGCAACATTCAATGCCTGCAAACCCACCACACATTTGGGTCTTATTCGCACAACTGTCCACTGTTACTGATTTGTCGTTCAAAATGATAATAAACTTTAATTTTCTTAACATTAATAATATTTAAAAATGAATGCATTATCTTATACCCAATATTGCCAATTCAAACACAAATAATATTATTGTTGTTTTCATCATTTTGTAGGCAATTGTTTGAAATAGTCTTTACATTATGGGGAAATTTAACAATTTTGAAATCTTTTATAATGTGTTAGAAATTCAAAAAATACTATGTTTACGATACACAAACATATGTATTAAATAATTATTCATCCCGATAAATTATATTCTCTTTCTATAAACAAAACTAGAACATTGAAAACATATATCATTATTGTTTACCACATACTATATTTTAATAAATTAAAATGTTTTGATATTTGATATTTTATTTATAGATCAAGAAAACTAAATATGTTGTATTGGTTCTGTATTCAGGATCAAAATGGTAAAAATAATAGTCAGACTGGAGTCAAAAGGATTAAAATTGCTTCTTTATTGTTATAAAATCTTTAAGATTTAAGATTATATTTACTTAAGTATCATAATCCATAATAATTACAGAATTTAATAAAATTTAACAAAAATAAAATTCCTCAATTCACAATTA